GCATCTTGGACAAAAAGATATTTGCAAAATGAATTTATAGATTAATTGCGATAATGGCACAGACACAACTTAAAAATGGATAATGATAAAAAGTTAATAGAGGTGAGTTGATGAAGATAAAATTTAACCTTCAAGTGTTTTTGTTTAGCGTACAAGAAAGATAATTCAAGAGACACAATTTAACTAATTTAAGAGGGGAAATTAGGATAAAACGCCGAAAAAAACGAACCCTGCTTACCCTGGTGTATGAATGAAGGCAATTAAAGGGTTGTCATCGAGGAAAAGAATAAGATATCGAAAAGACTGGAGATAAAAGCATGGAGAAGCATGTCGAAGAACAAGTGGTAGTGCTACAACGTAAAATGAGATGCGTCCAAAGGCGATTAATAAGAATGAAAAGGGAAAGATGGTCAGTTGCCTCAGAATGAATTCCTGAAAACGCTTGCAAGTGAGAAGAGCTCTTCATGTCCGGCCGTCATTTACAAAGTGGAAAAGTCTTCAGCATCCTCATGTAAGAAAGAAAGAAAGATTGAGCTTTTGGAAGGAACAAGGAGTTCAGTCGACGATGCCTTCTATGCCTAATTTCCTATAGCCCTGGTCAATTAATATGGAGTTTGTACAATGGGCTTTCAGGGCAGAAAAGGTGTGCTTGCATAAAAATCCCTTTCATTAGCCACAGCGTAAACAGGGTCCAGTTTTGGGTGAGACAAGTGCTGTCAGATGCAAGATTAGCGCAGATCGCTAAGAAGCCATGCGAGCCCATTCGGCAATTGGCAGCAACCGCCGGCAGAGGACTCATGCCCAAAGGACTCATCATAAGTCTGGTGTCCCGTGATTCCTTATCTTGACTACCTTGGAACAGACGTTGCATAATGGCAGCAGTGAACTACTAGAGACGTGTACCCATGTTCTCCAGATACCCCTCCCTTAAAGGCAGATATGCTTAGCCGTCTATCGCCGAAGAAGAGCTTGATGACAGAAACGACTGCACCAACATCTAAGGAAATATCGGTAACAACGGAAGCATTATCAGCCAGGCTAGAGACAGGTTATAAAGAATAAGCACTCATCGTTTATGTTAGCACCACTTGGCTTGTCTACGGTTTGGACCGATGTAGAATTGTGCCAAACAATGTGATTAAAAGCTGTCAGAGAGACGAGAACGAATGAGTCCGGCGGTCTGTGCAATTGAACGCCAATGACCTGAGTCCCCAATTTGTCTTTTTCTGAGTTGTGAAGTTGTAAAATTATCGCAACTACGCAAACATGCGCCGATTGCAAAACGTTTGAGACTAGTCTGGTAAGGATGCCAATTCCTTGAGTCTAAGGGGGAAATAAGCGAGTCTGGGGCAGAGGTGAGGTGGCCTATGGCGCTCGAAATGAGAAGCACCAAAGCCATGTGAGGCATACGGAATTACATCGTTTTTATTTTATAGAAACCAAAATGAGTAGAGTGAGATCAACTGATAAATGCCGTCATGAAAAATACTGGAGCAGCCAAAGCTTTACTTTTTAGACGCGTTGGTAGCAATTCCTTGCTGAAAAGTGGAGGTAACATTGCGAGTACCCTTGGTACGAAGCCAACCAATCTGGGGCTCTTTAGCCCGTCTAAGAGTGGACGGATGAGAGAACCAAGCTCAGGGATTACTTTGTTAGAAGCTAGTTAAGGGATGGGGGCAAAATTCGTTTTTTATTCAGACTCACAGCCTATGCAACTTTCGCATTGAAATATGCATGCCAAAATGTCAACATAGCTTTAGTTGTGCACATGAAAGCCCAATTAAGAGGACAACTATGCTTAAATAAAGAATCACCCTGTCACCAAGCCGTTTAGTAAGTTTAAATCCCTGCACAAGAGCCCAGCATTGTTTAGCGTGGCCAAAATCAAAGTTGGTGTCTATTCAACCAATTATATGCTGAAATGCGCGAAAAACGAAACCCTTACCGAGCAGCAAACTAACTTCAGGTGTGACT